TGTGCACATTTCTGCTCGTCTCTCCTCCGCGGACCCAGGGTTTCCGGGGGCTGCGCAGCTCCCAGGCCCCGTGGCTGGGGCCGGCGGGAGCGGGAGCGGTGCCGGCTACTAGGTGGGACTTTGCAGACGCTGCGGGCTGAGCCGTTGGGGCCGAGTTCTGATTTATTGCTTCTGTTGTCTTGCTTCACCGATCGGGCAGCTGAAGACGTGTCATCGCGAGGCAGTATGCAAAGCCTTCTCTTCTGTTAAAACAAACAAACAAACAAACAAAACCAACAAGTTTTCATGAGGCTTTTGGTTACTGGGACATACGGTATGTTACTGTCCAACAACATGAAGTGAGAGATGCTTAGAACAGGGGCTCTAGCCAGTCCGAAGTATCCAGTATTTTAAGGAAAGTGCAGTAGGCTCTTTAATTGCAACTAGTTGTTTTGACAACTTACTGTACTTGAAAATTTCTATTTATTGATTGTTTTGAGAAGAGTGGGGGAGGGGAGAGACATAGAGAGAGAGAGAAACATCAATTTGTTGTTCCACCCACTTATGCATTCATTGATTGATTCTTGTATGAGCCCTGACCCAGTGGAACCCACAACCTGACAATAATAGCACAAATTAAGTTGTGCTATTAAGAATGAATCATTGCCCAGAGTGACTCAGTGGTTGAGCATTGATCTATGAACCAGGAGATCAGGGTTCGATTCCCGGTCAGGGCACATGCCCTGGTTGCAGGCTCTATCCCCAGTGTGGGGAGTGCAGGAGGCAGCTGGTCAGTGAAATTCTCTCATCATTGATGTTTCTGTCTCCCTCTCCCTTCCTCTCTGAAATCAATAAAGATATATTTTAAAAAAGATTGAATACATTGATTCAGGGAGGATTTTACCGTGCAGTGGTTTGAATAGGATGATTATAGAGAAAACACATTCAGTTGAAGCATGAAACAACTGTTAACATGTTAAAATCGATTTAAAGGTGCAAGCCAAGTTGAAAATGTTCTAATTTCTTAAATTCTTCGATTTTCATCCTTAATACCAGCTATAATTCTTGACTCCAGAGGGATACAAAGCAGGCCGTGGCAGTTATGAGCAGAGGACAGCTGTAAGATCACTATTTTGCAGGGGGCAGACTGAAGTTTTCCGTACATAAGGTGGTACTTAGAGCAGCTCCACAGTAAATAGGGTTATGTCATGGAAAAAGTCCCAGCAGTAAACACGCATGTCTGCCTTTTCTGTAACGTTGTGATAAGATTTTCTGCAAACTGAAGATTAGTCTTGAAGGGTGTGATCTTAGATTAGCTTCTAAAAATTCCCTTCTCCTCGGCTACTCATTCTACTGTTGTGTTTACATACTGCCTTTTCTTCCAAAGGAGCCCAGAAGGCCCAGGCCTAATTTATCTTCTCGTGGGGAAATAAGGTCCGTGAGAAATGCAGTAGATGTAAAAACAGAATAGTTAAATGGCTTCTCAAAGGTTTTCTGGCTGATGGGAGGCCACTCTGCCAGTTAATGGTAGAGTCTGAAAATTCAAAACCTAGGTGTCACTCCAAAACCTGTGCTCTGCGGGAGTTTATTGTGTAGGGAGTCATCCGCCTTTGATCAAAGTTACTGTCTTTGGTCCCCCCCCCACGCCCCGTTCCCCCCCCTCATCTTAGAAGGAGGGCCAACAGTAAGCCCAATGTCAGACTCATTAATTTTTCTTCTTTTACCAGAAATGAGTTTTCTAAAATTGTATCTCAAATTAATCCTTCAGGTTTCTCCCTCAGTTCTTGAACGTCTCCCATCAGGAACAATTCGGTTCTTTTTTTTTTTTAAATATATTTTTATTGATTTTTTACAGAGAGGAAGGGAGAGAGATAGAGAGTTAGAAACATCGATGAGAGAGAAACATCCATCAGCTGCCTCCTGCACACACCCCACTGGGGATGTGCCTGCAACCCAGGTACATGCCCTTAACCGGAATCGAACCTGGGACCCTTCAGTCCGCAGGCCGACGCTCTATCCAGTGAGCCAAACCGGTTTCGGCAACAATTCGGTTCTTGACCAAATTGTTAACAGAAAAAATGTCTCTCCTTGGCTGGCATGGCTCAGTGGTTAGAACATTAGCCTGTGCACCAGAGGATCTTGGCTTTGATTCCCGATCAAGGGCACGATCAAAGGCACGTATCTGGGTTGCAGGTTCAAAATCCCCAACCCGGGTTGGGGCTCATGCCGGAGGCAACCAGTCGATGTCTCTCTCCCTCTCTCTCCCCTCCTTTCTCTCTTCCATTCTCTCTAGAAACCAATGGAAAAAATATCCTCACTCCTTGGATGAGGCTCAGAAAAAATATTTTAAAAAATGTCTCTGTTTTTGACCAAAACTTCAGTTTTTGACCTGACAGCCCTTTTGTGCTGAGGTCAGCGTGACAAAAAGCAGCTCTCAGGTAACAAAGAGAATGCTTTTGTTGGAAAATCAACGGATTAGCACAATTTTAGAACATAAAGAGGCCATCAAGAGTGCTAAGGGTGTGAGAGTAGCAGTGATCACAGAAGAGGTAGAAAAACTGTTGATTTGGGTAAACAAAAAGCAGTGGGCGGGTGGAGGCCATAGTGAAAGAGCATTGATGGAGCCTGCTGGCCTGAAAGGCACCCCTGGAACGAGTGCTGAAAGCGACTCCTTTAAGGCTGGAAGGGGGTAGTTCGATAAATTCAAGAAAAGAAGTGCCTGTTTATAGGTTAAACAGTACATTGAACAGTACTGTATACAAAAAAGGTTAAAACAGGGAATCATTTGGGGGTCTGGGACGGATTAATTCAATTTCCATTCTTTCTGGGGGGAAAAAACGATTTGGTTTTCGAACAAATCCCCTCTCGAACAGCCTTCTGGAACTAATTGCGTTCGAGAACCAAGGTTCCACTGTACTGAGAATTCAGTGTCTCATCTTTCCTCTAACAAGCCCTCCTACCAATTTCCGCTCTCATTAACACCCCTTCCTCCCGTTCCTGGTGTTTTAAATCCTGGCCAGTCCCTTTCTTTCTTGCTATTTCTGCGACCTATTCTTTCCTCCATGTTTCTGTCCGGTCGCCTCCTGTACCAGCTGATGACCTTCAGTTGAAGTGCAAAGTCATCTGTCCGGTTGGTCTTGTGCAGTGGAAAGAGGACGATGGGCTCAGGGGTTAGTCGGTCTGCCCGCTTACAGATTTCTCACCTTCTCTAGGAGATCAGTGTCCTCATCTGGAGAATGGGACTAGTAACACTTACCTTTTACTGTCCCGTGAGGATGAAATGAGATTGTACACATAAGACACCTGTCCATACGTAGCACATGCTCAGGAGTCAAGTTTTCCTCCTCCTTCCCTTTCTCCTCTGCCAAACTAATGTCTTTATGCCTGGGCCTACGCTGTCCTCGTGACAGGAGGCATCCCCACTTGTTTGCTTGAATATTCATTCATTCATTTCTACCTTTGTGTACATCACTACTAACAGAACGTTCTCCCTCCCCCCAGTGGCATCTTCCTGCTAGGCTTCCAGCTTCCAGAATTCAACTCAAAAAATGCAATTCCAAAAAGTTTGCTTGATTAACCCCACTTAGCTTAACTACTGTGGGTTTTTTAAGTTTTTTTAAAAAATATATTTTATTGATTTTTCACAGAGAGGAAAGGAGAGGGATAGAGAGTTAGAAATATCGATGAGAGAGAAACATCGATCAGCTGCCTCCTGCACACCTCCTACTGGGGATGTGCCCGCAACCAAGGTACATGCCCTTGGCCGGAATCGAACCTGGGACCTTTCAGTCTGCAGGCAGACGCTCTATCCACTGAGCCAAACCGGTTAGGCTCTGACCAGGAACCGAACCTGGGACCCTTCAGTCTGAAGGCCTATGCTCTATCCACTGAGCCAAATCGGCCAGGGCTTATTTTATTTTTTTAATATGTCTTTGTTGATCTTAGAGAGAGGAAGGGAGAGGGATAGAGATAGAAATATCGATGAGAGAGAAACATAAATGATCAGCTGCCTCCTGCACGCCTACTGGGGATCAAGCCTTCAACCTGGGCTTGTGCCCTGACCGGGAATGGAACCGGTGACCCCTTGGTTTATGGGTGTTGATGCTCAACAGCTGAGCCACACCAGGTGGGCTGGGGTGGGTTTTTTCCCTTGAAGTTACATAGTTTGTTTCTTTCTTTTTTAAAAAAATATATTTTATTGATTTTTTACAGAACAAGGGAGAGAGATAGTTAGAAACATCGATGAGAGAGAAACATCGATCAGCTGCCTCCTGCACATCCCCCACTGGGGATGGGCCCGCAACCCAGGTACATGCCCTTGACCGGAATCGAACCTGGGACCTTTCAGTCCGCAGGCCGACGCTCTATCCACTGAGCCACACCGGTTTCGGCCATAGTTTGTTTCTTTAATTAGAATGTGTTATTTTGTCATTCTGAGATGTTTACTATTTATTACAATTTTTCCTTTTTTAATTTGTAGAAGCTGATGTTCCAGCAGAACTCCAGGTGTTAAAAGGGCCGCAGCAGCAGCAGCCGACCTTCCCTTTTGCAGTTGCCAACCAACTATTGCTTGTCTCTCTGCTGGAACACTTGAGCCATGTGCATGAACCAAACCCATTTCGTTCAAGACAGGTGTTTAAATGTTAGTAAGCATAAATTCATCTTGCTAAATAACACTTGTAAAAGTACTATGGTATTTAATGCTGTGGGTGTATAAAAATTTGAAATAAGTATTAATAGTTTATATTTTTAAAAATATATTCTTACTGATTTCAGAACGGGAAAAGGAAAGAGAGATAGAAACACCAATGATGAGAGAGAACTATTGATGAGCTGCCTCCTGCACGCCCCCTACCGGGGATGGAGCCTGCAACCCGGGCATGTGCCCTGACCTGGAATCGAACCGTGACCTCCTGGTTCATAGGTTCATGCTCAACCACTGAGCCACGCTGGCTGGGAAATATAGTTTATATTCTTAAAAATCATTTTATATTTTGCTTTGGATAATTCCTAATGAATATAACTAGAGGCCCGATGCACGGCATTCATGCAAGGGGCTCGGCCCTCGCAGCCCCGGCTGCCTCAGCCCTTGAAGCCCTAGCTTCATCTGGAAGGTCATTTGGATGCGTGAAGGGAAAGGGAGAAACACATTGATTGGTTGCCTCCTGCACATGCTGTGATAGGGACTGGAGATCAAGCCAGCAACTGAGGTACATGCCCTTGACTGGAATCGAACCTAAGACCCTACAGTCCGCAGGCCGACACTCTATCCACTGAGCCAAACCGGTTAGGGCACTAAATACTTTTAACACCAACTGTGTGGTGTTTCTTTTCCTGCACTGCCCAGCTCTCTGTGTTGGTTAAGATATTCCATAATAGAAGCAATAGTTAAAATTCACTTTTGTTGTTCATTCTAATCACTTATTTCCACTTCTGCCTTTATTCTTTTTTTTTGATATATTTTATTGATTTTTTTACGGAGAGGAAGGGAGAGAGATAGAGAGTTAGAAACATCAGTGAGAGAGAAACATCGATCAGCTGCCACTTGCACACCCCCTACTGGGGATGTGCCCGCAGCCAAGGTATATGCCCTTGACCGCAATAGAACCTGGGACCTTTCAGTCTGCAGGCCGACACTCTATCCACTGAGCCAAACCGGTCAGGGCTCTGCCTTTATTCTTATCTCAGTGCCTGTTTGCAAAATGAAATATATTTGAAAATCAGAAGACTACTGTGATTACATTTTTCTTGCCTTTTTAAAAGATGGAGCTTAGTATTTTACTGACCAACCAGGAATGGTAAACAAATGACTGACTGTTCAATGTCAGAGAAGTCAGTATAGATGTGCTTCTGAGCAGTGAGTGTACCAATTGCTTCACTTTGACGGAATCAATCCCCAAGTTGGAATGCGTGTATGAATGGAACTTTTTTCACTCTATGAAAAGGCTGTTTCACTCTATGCTCTGTGTACTCTTCAGAAGTGCCATTTTAGCCCAGCCAGATGTGGCTCCATGGTTGAACATTGACCTAGATCTATGAACTGGAACAGGGGTGGGCAACCTTTTTGTGAGTGCGTGCCAAAACCAGCAAAATCTCTGACTCAAAATTCTTCTGCGTGCCAATTTTTTGAGAACATGTTACGCCTGCTTGATATCTCTTAAAGTGTACCTATGTGAAGAACCTTGAAGAAGAAATAAAATTCATTCGAGCGACAAAGACACAGTATATGATGATGAAAAATACATTTATTTTTTAATGTATACATGTTATGTAAAATTATTTATCTAAGATGCACCTACACTGAATTTATCTGAAAAATAAAAAAAGTCGATATTAAGGAAAAAAATTGTAAATGGAAGATTAGAAGAAAGGGGCTCGCGTGCCAGCAAAAGTTACTGGCGTGCTATTTTATGGCACACGTGCCAGGGGTTGCCCACCCCTGAACTAGAAGGTCACAGTTCGATTCCTAGGCAGGGCACATGCCTGGGTTGCAAGCTCCATCCCCAGTAGGGGGCGTGCAGGAGGCAGCCGATTGATGATTCTCTCATCATTGATGTTTCTATCTCTCTCTCCCTATCCCTTCCTCTCTGAAACAAAAAAGTATATATTAAAAAAAAAATAAAATTACCATTATAAAATGGCCTTCTAATAATTCTCTGCATTCTTTTTCTAGTACTTTGTCAGACCTTTATCAAAATGGGGCTGCTGTCTTCTTTCACCTGCAGTGATGAGTTTAGCTCATTGAGACTACATCACAACAGAGCCATCACCCATTTAATGAGGTCAGCTAGAGAGAGCGTTCGTCAGGTGAGCTTCAAAATACGTGCTCGGTATGTGACAAAAACGTTTTGATTTCCAGAGGGCTGTATCTTAAAGCGTTATGAAGAGGTTTATAAAATGTTTAGTTTGTTTATGTAACAACTATTTATGAATGGCTGCTGTGTGTTCGGCTCTCTGGTACGCGCTGGGGTCCAGGCAGTAAGCAACATAGACAGAGTCCCGGCCTCAGGGAACTTCTGTTGTAAAGAGCAGGTAGTAAACAACGGAACAATGACAATGCGGAGAAATCAGTGGGTTCGATGGTGAGAATGTTCAGGAGAAATAACGCAGGGAAGGGACTTAGAAATGTGTGAATGTTACGGAGGGCGGCCAGGGAGGGCGGCACTGAGACTCCTGTAAGTCAGGAGCTGAGGCTGAGAGGGGGCTCCGCGCAGATGCCTGGAGGGAAAGCACTCGCGTGGAGGCACAGCAGCTCCCCAGTGAGCAGTGTGTCAGGTGTGGGGAGCAGGATAGGCAGCCGTGTGGCTGGAGTGAGCAGGGGAGCATGGGGGGCAAGAGGGCAGTAAGAAGGACGGTGGAGTTGGACAATAGAGTCTGATTTGGAGACCATTTTAATGTCTTTGGTGTTCACGCAGTGGGACAGGCAGCACTGCCGGACTTTGAGCAGAATGGCATCATCTGACTTATGAGTTAATGGGATCAACAGCTTCTGTGTTGAGCATAGACGGGGGACCAAGGGCAAAAGCAGGGGCACTGGGCATCATTCAGGCAAGAAGCGCTGGTGGTGGCTCTGAATGGGTGGTAGCCGTGGAGACGTGAGAAGTTGTCAGTTTCTGCATACTGGTATATTTTGAAGGTAAAAATCGCCATTTGCTTATGGTGCTCCTTGGTACATTCTCAGCTTTGTCAGAGGGTAGCAAGAATGTAGCTTTTTTAGTAGTGATCTTCTGAACAGAGAGAGATATTTTCCATTGTAAACTTTTAGGTAATGTTGAAAAAGCCATTGAGTCTTATTTTTTAATATTGTGTAAGCATTTGAGACTATTGATATGACATTGAATTTTGATAGATTCCTTATTCCATAAAATTTTCAAAATGCTTTTAAAAGTAATTTTTTTTATTTTAGGATCCTTGTGAGGATAGTTCTCATATTCCGAAGATCAGGTCTGTATCAAATACTTTGTGATTATTTAAATATTACTATTAAGTCAGGATTAAGACTCAATCCTGAATTAATCAGAAATGAGTTTTGAGTTTAAAAATACTGTGTTTACTATAGTTTATGCAAATTAAAAAACTTTGTTCTCGGCAGTTAACTACTGCTCCAAGATTTGCTTTAATCTTCATTTCCCTCCTTTAATAAAAAATAAAGTTTTTTTGGTTTTGCTTTAAAATTTTTTTCCTTCATTATTGACCCCCTGCTCTCCTCATTCACTGTGGATTCCACAAGCCCCAGCCTTAGTGCAGGGCACTGATACCTGGTCTCTGTCAGGGAAAACCATTGAATGTTGCCTGTATTTAGGAAGTGTTAAGATAAAATCTGTAACTTGTCTGGAAATTTAAGTGACTTTCTCACTGAACTCCGCTAATCTTTTGCCTGTTTAATTAGTCATTGAGTACTTATTACTGGTAAAATACTTAAAATTAGATTAATGATTTTAATCTAAATCAGGTTTTCATTTTGCTATCATACCAACCTGTCAATTTGCTTAGCAAATGTTTTTTTCATAGAGAATGAAAAATTGCATTAAAATATTTTTATTGACTTCAGAGAGGAAGGGAGAGGGGGAAAGAGGTAGAAACATCAGTGATGAGCGAGAATCATCAGCCGGCTGTCTTCTGCATGCTCCGCACTGGGGATCGAGACCCAGGCATGTTCCCTGACCAGGAATCAAATCGTGACCTCTTGGTTCATGGGTTGACATTCAGCCAGTGAGCCACACTGGCCGCTCAAAATTTTCATTTTAGCTCATCCTTTCCAAGCCACCACAATTTAGTGATGAAGGAAGTTAGAAGGTTAGTAGTGAAACAGGGAACATGAACTGCCAAGAACAGCCGTGGGCAAACTACAGCCTGCGGGCTGGATCCGGCCCGTTTGAAATGAATAAAACTAAAAAAAAAAAAAAGACCATACCCTTTTATGTAATGATGTTTACTTTGAATTTATATTAGTTCACACAAACACTCCATCCATGCTTTTGTTCCGGCCCTCTGGTCCAATTTAAAAACCCATTGTGGCCCTCGAGTCAAAAAGTTTGCCCACCCCTGGCCTAGAACATTCTGACGTGCTCATGCTCTAATATTGGCTGTTTGTTTTAACTTTCAGATCAAGGGAAGTAGCCTTTGAAGCACAGACTTCACGTTACTTAAATGAGTTTGAAGAGGTTTCCATCTTAGGAAAAGGTGGATATGGAAGAGTATACAAGGTTGTTTTCTCATGTCTTTTTTGACCTACTGCTTTAAATAAATGTATTGAGAAGTTGTTTTCAATGTTGAAAGTTGTTTTCAGTATTGAAAGTAGGCAATTTCTAGGCAGTTCCTAGAAATTGTGTATATTTACTTTTCACCAAGATTCGTCATTTATGGGGAAGTGGGCAGGTTTTCATTTTTTCCTAACCACATTGGTGGGTTGGTGGATTCTGGAAATTGAGTTTTTGTCCTATAGTTACCTTTTCTATAGAATGTTTTACTGAAAAGAATTGTGCTGCTGTTCTTTGGGCTTCGCAGAGCCCTTTGGCCAACACTGCCATTCTTCCGACCGGGGGCTTCTGGGAACTGGCCCCTCCTTGCATTTGAAAACCTGTGGTCTGGCTGAGCACGGTTGACTTCCCTGACCATAGCAAAGCGCTCAGGTGTCTTTACCTTCATTTTACCTCTTTGGCTCGTTTGGATGGTCTAAGTTCAGGTTAAAGAACTTTCCTTATTCGGTTGAAATTTAATGACACGATATACTTTGTCTTTTTCTCTACTTTTTAGGTCAGGAATAAATTAGATGGTCAGTATTATGCGATTAAGAAAATCCTGATTAAGGGTGCAACTAAGACAGATTGCATGAAGGTAAGATTTAAAAAATGTATTTATTTTGAATAATTGAGTATTTGTTTTTTTGAAATAGTTGCTGTATGTGTGTGTGTGTGAGAGAGAGTGTATTTGGCAAGTATTAGGTGTATGGCTTGCCAGTTTACTAAGAATGGGTTATAGTAACAAACATAAGAACTAAATTTATTTGACTTAGTTTTTTTCAAAGTCCAGAGTGCTAACCATTACACCATGGGGCCACACAGACTTAGTTTTTTATAGGCATTTCATATTGGCCACATTTCAGGGTCATTGCTGGGGAAATTAATTTTTAAATTAAATTACTCATATACAATACAAGGTGCTATAAAACAAAAGAAAACATGAGCTCAGTCCAGGTCCCAATCTTCTCCCTGACATGCTGTGTGGTCCTGGGCAAATTACCTAGTCCTCCAAGTCACGTCTATCTTCTGCCCTTGACAACAGGTTTTATTTACCTGTGAACTGGACTTCGTTATAGGAGAATGAGTATAAATGAACTATGCAAAGCATAAAGTGCCATGTATATGTAAGTTTAGTGGCTGTAACAATTGCTCTGGTCTCTCATAAAGATATTCCCGTTATTTTAACATCGTTTAGATTGCTTGTACAGAGGGCTTTTTCTGTTTGCTCTATTTGACACCATGAGCATTTAACAACTTGCCAGTGAAAGCTCGGTCTAATGATGCTTCTCCTTCAGGTTCTACGGGAAGTGAAGGTGCTGGCGGGCCTCCAGCACCCTAACATTGTGGGCTATCACACTGCTTGGATTGAGCATGTCCACGTGGCCCAAACGCAAGGTAAGCAGTTTCAGATTAGATAGAGTTGAAGGCCGGCAAAGCTCATTCTTTTATGTTTTTTACATTTTAAAAAATATTAAAAGGCTCAGAAAGACTATTTTGTGAAAATTATATGAAATTCCTCATTTCAGTGTCAATAAATACAGTTTATTAGAACACAGGCTCATATATAGGTATTGTCTGTGGCTGCTTTTGTCCACAACGGTGGAGTTGAGTAGCTGCAGCAGAGTCTCAGGGCCCGAGAAACCTGACCAATTGACCAGGTCCTGCACAGAGTTTGCTGACCCCTCGTGTAGAGGAACAGCTGTTCTATAGTCCCGTATATGTGCCAGTCGTTTGGATAAGCTTGTACTTTGCCCGAAGATCATGACATTTTTATTTATTTATTTTTTAATCCTCACCGGAGGGTATTTTTTCCATTGATTTTTAGAGAGTGGAAGGGAGGGGAAGAGACAGAGAGAGAGAGACAATGATATGAGAGAGATACATTGATTGGTTGCCTTCCACACGAACCCCACCTGGTGGCCAGGGGTCAAACCTGCAACCTCAGTACATGCCCTTGACCGGAATCAAACCCAAGACCCTTCAGTCCACGGGCGATGCTCTATCCATTGAGCGATACTGGCCAGGACAGTCATGATGTTTTTAGATAGGTTGTTTCATTTGGCATTATTTGTATATTTTAAATCTGCCTTTGACTATGAATTAGGAAATTGGGCTGCTTAAGGATTTGTTTCTGTTTTTATTCAGCAGATAGAATTTCTGTTCAGTTGCCATCTCTGAAAGTGATCTCCGCCCAGGAGGACGACAGGTATGTGCACTGTGTAGCCTTTGCAGGTTGACATAACCTCTCACCTGCATTGGGTTGCCTTTGTCTTTTGCTGTTAGGAGTTCAGGAATGTTTTAGACTTCGTTTTTGCTTATTTTCATTATGAAATGTTAAATTCTTTCCTCCCCTTAAATATTTCCTGTCAGAATTTTA